ACTCTCTTCTCTGAGGTCTATTGTAAAGACCTCTTCTCTTTATATTTTGATAGATCTAAGTACTTAGATTCACAACACATGGTTTGACATTTCAAAGTTACAGATGCTTTTCTCCTGGACAGTGTCACAGCTAAACAGGCCACATGTATCTAACATTAAGAGAAACTACACAGATAATTTAATTTTGAATAATAGCAGATGATGCAAAATCTGAGAAGAATGTGGTAGAATGAGGGAAAGTGGTCATTTTGTCCTGCAGCAGCCTAAACCCATAGCAGCAGAATAACAGCTCTGGATAACCTAAGGCACTCTAATTATTAGCTTTATCAAAAAGTTAAGTTTTAAGCAATATCTAAGTAGTAGACAGGGTGTGTGGCTTGTGATCTAAAGCTGAAAGTTGGTTCCATAAGAAAGGAGCATGAAAACTAAAAGATCTGCCTCCAATTTTACTTATAGAGATTCTATGAGCCTGCAGTAAACTTACAGTCTGAGAGTAAAGTGCACAGTTAGGAACATATAAAACAGTAAAATCTGTTGTATTTTTGATTTTGTTAAGGAGAGATTTAAATTCTATTCTTGTGATCGACAAAACAGTTTATTTTGCAGTGACTCTGGTCCAAATTTGACAGTTTCTGTCTAGTCTGCCTTTAAACACAGAACATTTAAAGCCATCCAGGTTTGTTAGCGCAGCAGATCTGCCTGTTGTCAACTCAGTTGGTTTTATTTATTGCTTTCTATTGGGAAAATATAGGTAACGTTTATCAGCGGTCAAATTATTACTCCTACTTGTTTAGCATTTTTATAAATATCAAAATGGTTCATTCAGCAGTAACTTTTAATATATAATTGTTGGGGAGGAGAAAAACAGAATAAATATCACTAGACAGGAAATCTATGCTCTATCGATTCCTTTATGAAAAAGCCGCTAAGTGACATTGTGTTCAAAATAGTTCAATCTACTTTGAGAAAGACAGAAAGTGGCATTGTTTTTCGGGTGATTTGGGTTGTGTTGACGCCCCGGGGGCTGCCAGGCTGAAAATACAGAGCTGTCAGACTCCGACCTGAGCCACTGCTATGAATAACTGGCTGCGTTCTGAAAGCAGAGTATGTATGCAGCTGCTTATATGCCCTAATGAATCCTGCAGCAATAAACTGGTAGACAGACCAACAATGAAAAGCCCCAAATCACATCTAGTTTCATGCAGCTATCTTATTTTAGACAATGGATGCAATGCAGTCTTTATTTATTTGAAAATGGAATGCCCTTCACTGAGGTGACTTGTTTATTTATTAATACTTTTTTTTTTTTGATGGAACATTATGGTAGGAATAGGACTAACAGGATCACGATGATAAAAAAAAGGATTGATTGACAAGCTGCTGAATGGTTTGAGCGCACCCCTCAGGATGAGATCCATTGAGAGAGATCAATGCCCCCCAGGAGGCCTCATCGTGCAGTATACACATGTTAAGTACAGGACAAATGCCAGAGTAAAGGGGTTGGGAATGACCTCACGTTTGTGCTGAAGCCCGAGGGAATGCACTCGTTGACTTCATATCCAGAACATACTTGACATATGACTGAACCGGTTAAACGAATGCGTAGAATAGCTTTGTGCTTTTAGGTATGCATTGCACAGAAGCAAAACAACAAAATATGCAGAAAAGTGGTCTCCTATTTTGTCATACAGTAAAAATATATTTACTTAATTTAATTTGTTCTCCACATTTTGGTTCCAGATGCCAATTATGGCAACAAATTCCATTTAGTTTTTTTTTTCTCTTTTAGTTTACTTAAAGAGTTATGTGTTTATTTGTCACTGTACAGGATTCATAGATATACAGTTTGACAAAATGTCTTTAGCTCCATAATTTCAGTTAGATGTACTTAAATTATGTTGTTTATTGAACTGTCTGTGTTAATATTAGTGTAAATAAAATGTGCAGGAGTCCATTAATTGATCTGGGGTGCAGCCATGTGTGTTTGCGTGTCTGTCTATCTTTTTTTTGTAGTCTCCTAGAGAAATGAAAATAGGTTTGGAGACTTTAAAAGCAAAGCAATTGATCAAAACTGATCATCAGAAAAATATTGGTCTGAAAAAACATTAAAATTAAACATGGGTGCTTGGGTGGTCTATTTTAAAAGCTGAAAAGATTTCATTTGTCACACATTAAAACTGTCGTGCAGGTCGTAAAGATTGTTAGGGGTATGTTGAAGAAGATAGGAAATAAAGAGAAAGTTGTTTGTTAATATTAAAACATTATTGCAATACTCAACTAAAATTAATCAGGCATTAAACCAACAGAGAAACATCATGTGCAGCCTTATCTTAAAGGACCCCAAAAAATAATCCTTAAAGCACATAATGAAATAAAGCATTAGTTTGACCCCAGAAGTGTTTTATTTTTCTCTATGAATATAGTTATTATCATTATTAATATAACAATAATATTAAAATCCGGATGTATGAATGGATTCTAAGGCTGAGGCAAAGGATGAATAATGAATGAATATCTATCTTGAAAATGTATTTAGAAAAAATCTTTCCCTGTTTAAACTTTGTTTGATTGCTTTTCATTCATGTTGCCATATTCCTATATGTCAGAATACAGAGCAGTCAAACGTCTGATATAAAAATGCATTCACTTGACTAGAGCATACCTGAAGCGGGTGGGTCTTGTAAATTGTAAATATTCATCCATTCACTCATTCTTTATCATAATCTACTATGTATCTTTTTGTCCCCCTTTTCATCTAGTGTGGAATGAATTGATGGGGGCTGTACTGTAGGTGGAGCTGATGTAGCCCTTGTAATTTTGTCTACCTGGTAATCATTCTTCTGAAATGTGGCAGAGGGATATACATATACAGTGTATAGCTGGTCCTTGAAAATCAAATCTGACCATTCCAGCCTGCACTGGTCCTCTTAAAAAAAATCACTTGAATGTAATGTTTTGGCTGTTTCCAGCCAGAAATGTATACAGTGTTCTTTGATATAGGTATCTGATGTTTGCATTCACTGTTTCAGATAATATTTACATAATAACTTTCCCATAACCCCACACCCCAGTACTGTTGCACTTGGCTTTGTCCTTTCACATCACATCTGTCAGGACATGTGTGTCATCAAAGCAGGCAGCAGGAATAATAGATAAAAGGCTGAGATTCTCCAGGTTTGCCAAACTGCATACTCACTACATATGGCTGGAAAACTGTTGAGAACTTTAATTGGAAATTCACCATAAATAAGCTCTGGATTGTGGTGCATAAGAATTCAGTACCTTAAACTCAAACCTTTCACATGTTATTATTTAAACCTATTTCACTAAGAAAGATTATTATAAGCTGAAATGTGTATTTAAAGATATGTAGATGGCTATGAGCTATTTTTATCTTTGGATTCAAAGAAACATCTAATGCAGGGATCTGCAACCTTAACAATCTAAAGAGGCATTTTACCATTAAAATAAAACAAATCTAGTGCTGCAGTTATTACGTGACTTTTTTGAAAATGAAAATTCAGGGTTATTGCTAAATATGGACTACAGGAAATAAATATTCTTTTATTTCTCTTTTAATAGTTATGCAAGTTTAACTCCTCCTGGTCATTGATGGTGACTCATGCTTGCTCACTCTGTACTAGTTCTGTACTAGTTGTCTACTGCTTGCCAGGTACGCTAATGTTAATGCTAAACAAAACCTTTGCTGCATTATGACGGAACCAACACTGGAAATCTTGGAAAAAAATTTCACCCTCCTTTTTTCTGCTTTTTGATATATTTTTTTTAGCTTGAACTGGAAAAATGGAAGCCATTTCTCAGCTGCATTATGTAGTTACTAGGATTAGTAACACCTGACCTATGTTTCCCATGACTTCAATCTGTAATGGTGCAGAACCCTCTTGTATCCACATTGATATCATAACCAGAAGTCAAATTTTATATATTTTAGACTCTTTAAAATCTTCTTTAGTTAGATGCTATGTTTGGACAGTTATATAAAACACTATTTTTTTTTTCCTAATGATGAAAATAAAATCTTAAACCCATTAAGGTAGCCTGCATTTACGGCCAATGTTACTGAAAATATTATACAGCTATGCCATGAGAAAAAACCTTCTGAAACCTGCACTTATTATATCGCCTACTTTATATAAAACTATTACCTGGATTACACATTTCTGGCAAAAGTTATTGAAAGCCATTGTGAAAGGTCCAAAGAGCCAATTGCAGCTTTAAAGCCACAGGTTGCAGACCCCTGATCGCATGAGTAAGTTAAATAATTTTCTTGTGCTGCAGACAGAAAACTCATAAATAAAAGTTAAAACAATTCTATTTATTACTATAAGAAACCCATTTGTATGACTAAAATCAGGAAAGTGTGTGATGGTGGTTTGGATTAATTATGATTTGCCAACTATTATATGTATTATATAATATATAAAAAATAGCAGTGGGATGATATACTGTTTTTTAAAGTCAGCAGCATCCTTACTTGATTTCCAGCAAAACTAGACCTATTTATATTATGCACCACTAGGTGGCTCTGGCCTTTTAAACTTCATCTCCTTAGTGAATGTGACTCATACAGTATATCCTTTATTTTGATTTTTCAACTTTATTGATCTCACATTGGAGAAATTTACCTCTGCATTTAACCCATCCCCATGTGGAGCAGTGGACTGCCATCATGTGGCACCATGAAGGGAAACAAATATGCTTAGCTTAATTTAAACTAAGCTTTGAGTACATACAAGCAGCATGAATGTATATTTTCATTAATCATTTTTACAGCAGTATTTTAACAGCAACTGCCAGACCTATGAAAATCATCAGCTGTCTGGGTGTGAAACAGGTCACCATTTTAAATTAGCCCTACAGGCTTTAAACATGAAGTGAGAGGTGAGTGGTCCCATTGTTTCGATATAAGCGGCCTCAAACAAATAAGTAGGCTGGGTGCTAATCTCACAGAATATGCAAAGCTGCAGACACCATAGAGGTTGGATAAAGGCGTGGAGTGGTTGGTCGTTTGGAAAAGTATTGCACTCACTGAATGCAACCTAATTGGAGCCACTGCTTTAATGGGACTAAAGGATAATCGATTATGATATGGATGACTGACTGAGGAGTGGCGGATTGATTGGTGGATGGAGTACAGTAGGAGGCCAAATAAATGAACACCTTGCGTTGCAGGAAGAGGTCAAACTTTATATCTAGCTTCTACGGAAACTGTGAAGGAAAACAATCCTGAAAGACACAAATTTCTCTTTTGAATTCTTGTGACAAGTTGAAGAGAGGACAAGCTGTTCTTATCCTTGTGAGTACATAACTCTTTTGATGTCATGGTTTTATTCAGATGCCACAATTTCATCAATGGAAAAATATTTTCCTTATTTTGATGTAAAACTAAAGAAAGTTTTGATGATAAAGTGTATAAAAACAGCAGACTTTAACTAGGCTATGCTTAATTTCTGCAAACAGTAATAAGCTTTTTTTTTTTCTAAACATGATTGCTGATAAAATTAGATAATCAGGTTTACCAATAATCCTGCTGCAAGTTAATACAGAATGAACACATACTGGTGAGATTATACATGGGAATCAATTACCACTGCTTAAATGTCGTATAGTGTTTTATTTGCATTCAGTTAAAGATGCTCACAAATTCAATATTGATTTTTTTTTTTTAAAGAAATATCAATATTTCCCTTCAATGCAAAAAGCATTAGAGGAAAAGGTAATCCGCAGCCTATTGGTTGCCAGAGAGCGATGACAATTTATGTATTGAACATCAAACTTGTACATCAATGCATGGCATTATGTCAACAAAGATAGCGAAGAAAATTCTCCAACACCAATTTAAAATCAAAAAGTAAAGATTTTTATGTAGTAAGGAGGACAAAGCCAGAGAGATGTCTTAGAGGAGTAACAAATTTCACCCGATAGAGGGGTTTTAAAAGACATACTGTAACCAGAACAATCAGCTGTTATTACTTTAACATAATGATAAATTACAGGTTTTTGACAAGAACAGTCATTGGAAGCAGTTTTTCAGACTGACTTTCTAATTACTGGTCACTTCTGACCAACACTGATCCATTGATGTTCACATAAATGACCACATTATTTCCACCAACTGCCACTAAAATAATCTACTCTGTGTAAACAATCCACCCAGCAGTTGTTGAAGGCTCACCTTTCTCAACACTCAGACAATCAGTGACTGTATATACGTACTTGGAAACAAAGGTGGGTAGTAAGTGGTTACATTTACTTAGTTATATTTACTTTATTATTAACTTTAGGATAAAGTACTTTTTAGAGTAATTTCAATACACCATACTATATACTTATGTAGTAACATGAAGTATCGCTACTCTTATTTGAGTAATATCTATGGCTATTCTACCCAGTATGAGCAACTTCCCTAAAAAAAAATAAAATAATAACAATGGATGAAACACCTTTTAAACTAAAAGGAACCAGGCATAGGAAGACAGTTTAATTTGTGCTTAAAAGACTTTCCTCAATTTACAATTTTTGTTATTTTAATCCTACTTTTATCTGCTGAGACATCTATGGCAATGAGGTCAAGGTAATAGGAAAGAAAAGGTATCTATCCTTTCACTTGAAATACTTAAGCTTGTTCTGTAATGCATATTTTACATAGTTTAACAAATAGATTTATATATTAAATGTGAGGGGAAAAAGGATTTTGAGAAGTGTTTCTTCTGTCTGAAGTTTTTGTTTCCTGCATTTTTTTCATTTGTATTCATTACTATCTTTTAGTTTTTCAAACAAAATTAAATTGGACCTAACATTACATTATGGTCTGTCTGATTTACGTAATTAACTTTTAGTCATTTTTTATTTTTACTTGAATAGAAATATGTTAAAGTACTGTTGTAGTCCTACTTTTGGTTGAGTGCATTTTGTTCTAGCTTCACTTCAAAAAAAATACTGCTAATTATCTCATCTAAAGATCATTTACAGAGATCTGTGCACATTAAAACAGTTTTTGATAAGTAAAAACAAACTTTATTCAGGCAATTACTCCTGTTTGAGCCATCTGTCCAAGTCGTGGTGTTCCACATTTTCTTTCCTCTTCCTTAGGTTTGGATTAGTCCATCCCCTGACTGCTAAGCTTGCATTTTCTTTGTATTATTTGATTTGATATTAATGTGCGGCAGGTCAATCTGGCCCTTTATCTGTTTTCTACTGCTCAGCTATGTTTCCCAAGAGATCATTTTTATTGTAAAACTGCTCATTTAATCTTTTCTTGTTCTCAGTAAGCATCCATACAGCTGTTGGGCACATTCTCATGTCATAAGTCTATCAATAGATCGTTAGAAACTGTGGATAGATTAAAGTCTTCATTAATATACGGAACATGTTTCTTATTTTTGAAAGGCTTTTTGTCAAAAAGTTATTTTAAATGTTTTTTTTTTGCCTTGATAGACAGTAAATTAATAGAGATTAATCTATTTGTGTTTCATAAGTTCAATCTTCATATATTTTTTTCCTTATAAATTGTGAACTTTGCCCCTTATACCGTTTCTGCAGCAATATGTATTTCTTGTTTTCATCTGATGAATGAATAACATTATAAATGCCACCTAATTGTAAGACATAATTTTATATGAGCAGTAATGTGACGACGCTACCTCAATGTGTTTTAAAAAACCACAGCATTTGTTGTTAATTTAAAAGGTAAAGGTCATAACATTTTAAATTGGTAACGTAAATCTATATGTTTCAGTGCTTCAATCAAAAAGTCTGAAGAAATGGGTTCAACGAGCGCTCCAAGAGGGTGTGGCTCCAACATCAGCTCCATATACTACAACCTTTGTGACCTGACGGTGCTGTGGGGTGTCGTGGTTGAAGCCGTAGCAGCTGCTGGTGTGGTGACCTCCTTCATTCTGTTTATCATTCTCATGGCCTCGTTACCATTTGTGACGGATAAGAAGAGGAAGGGTATGGTGGCTCTACAGGCCAGTATTTTGGTCTTCACATTGGGACTTTTTGGCCTCACCTTTGCCTTTATTGTGGGGCAGCACTCTACAAGCTGTGCTGCTCGTAGGTTTTTATTTGGAGTACTGTTCTCAGGCTGCCTAGCCTGCTTGGTGATGCACGGGTTGTGGCTTGCCCTGCTGAAACAAAGTGGTCGTGGGCCAAGAAGCTGGTTGTTATGGGTGGGAGCTCTGGGTCTCTGGCTTGTTGAAGTGATCATCAACATTGAATGGCTTGTCCTCACTATGGTCTGGAGCCCACCTGGTAAAATAGATCTCCCTGACCTCTCCTGCAGCATTGCCAACAAGGACTTTGTATTGGGCCTCATTTATGTAATGGTTCTTATGGTTGGTGTAGTGCTTCTTGCTTCTCCCTCTCTATCACACAAACACAAGCAGTGGCGCCGAGATGGTGCTTTCATCTTGGTTACAGGACTCTGCACTATAGCAATCTGGGTATCCTGGATTACCATGTACATCTATGGAAACAGAGTGGCTGGTAATCCCAGCTGGGATGATCCAACGTTGGCTGTAACTGTCGCCTCAAATGCCTGGGTCTTCCTCTTCTTCTACATAATTCCAGAAATATGCCTACTAACACAAGGAGACCCAGACCTGGAAGAACCCAACGATGGAGAGCATATTTATCCTGCAAGGAGCCTCGCATACGATACCATCCTCAAGGAGCTAGAGGCAGCGCCCCAGAACCTGTATATAGAGAATAAAGCTTTCAATATGGACGAATCACCAGCAGGTAGGGCATACATCACATTGGCATATATGTAAAGCTTTGGTGTCATGCAAACATTAAGCTTGCCCGCCTATATACATAATATGTACTTTATAAAGAATAAAGTGTTCATTGTTGATAAATCTCCAGCTGGTACAGGCAGCATACAGTAGTTTAATTTAACTTATGTTAACTTTAATCCAATGGTTGATTTCACAGATTAAATAGCAGAGCTGATATATCAAAGAACATACCAAGATTTGCATCAGTTGTGCAACAACACCAAAAAAATCTGTATAGAAATGTATGTTCTGGGTTGGATTCTAGCTACAGTCGTTTTGCAATTCATCATGTTCAGTAAATACATTTCTAATTAATGTAACCTTTAATGTCCGGATATTAGACAACAAATTTAGCGTATTAACTTTCATCTTTGGTTTTATCATTTTACAGTCCCTCAAAGTCGTAATTTGAAGCTGGATTAGCCATACGAACCTCTAAACAATATTAAGGAATGCTTCAATTTGCATTAGAGGTGGATATTGCAGATCCAGAAAGAAAACAAAAAACTGGAGTTGCTAGGAAAGGGACAGTGTTTGTGGTTGGTGACTGAATGATTGGGAGGTTTTCAAAGCAGCTTGTTTTCCATACACCAATAACTCCTTTACTTAACAAAAATAATCTAAATGGCTTTTTTGACAGGAGGACTTTTTCTAGAAGCAGTAGAAACCCAAAATAAAGTATACAAATGTCCAAAATGAATTCAGCATAAAACATCTCCTTAAGTAGAAAAATCTATAAAGGAAAAAAAGTAGGAGGGTAGATGGGTGCAGGTTTTTGAATAGCAAAGAAAGCATCTGGATAACCAGCACTATGAGGTTCTTCATCAAAATCAGACATTAAATATATAGATAAGGATATATGGATGAGCCGATTTTATTGTTGAATAATACACAAATGACAACAGCAGGTCTCTCTGAATGACTACAGAAAAAATAAATAAAAGAACCTTTAGTGTCAGAGCAAACTGCAAGGAGACATTTTGGAGTCACAAATTCTCCATAAGATAGATGCCAACAAAATGCTTATTGGAAGGTTTGCCTAATTCTACTGGTAGAATATGCCAGGCAGACTGAGCTAGTTGCCAAAAGAAACCTCACATTTAGAGTGGAAAAAAAGCATTCATGTATATATTGATAGGGTTTGATTTTAGGCTGTGTCACAGATCAGCTTTATGACCTGACTTATATTATGTGCTCTAAATATATAAACATTCTTTTACAAGACCCCCCTAGGCCAGTGTCTCCGTATGGCATCTACAATGGCCAGCCTCGAAGCTGTGTGTACCAGCCAACAGAAATAGCCCTTATAACCAAAGGTCTAACAATGGTAAGATGTTTATTAACCTCCTTAATTTCTCAGTCGCATTCAAAGCAGTGACTTTACCTTTCCTTTTCACAGATGAACCAAGGCCTGATGATACCTCGGGCCAGAGTCCCGTCTTTGAACCCAGGGAGCGGGAGGAGCTCCTTGTCTCACTCAGTCGAGTCTTTGGCTTCCCAGGGACTTTCATAGATTTTGTGCTTTCTTTGTTTCTCTTCTGAAGATGCTTTAACATTCTAACAAGACAGATCATGAATAGATCCTGTTATAGGGTTTCTCATCAACGTACCATAGTATTGCTTTCTGTGCACCAGTATAATCTTGTGGTACTTACAGTGAAGAATGTCCATTTATTGCTGGATGAAACAAATATTTACATAGGAAAATACAGTCCCTTTTGAAGCCTAATATATTCCATCCGCTGTGAACTGTATTAGAAAATGTAGAATATAACCTCTAGCCTCACTTACAGTGGATTTTACCTACTGTGCTACGAATTCAACTGTTTCCCGCTGTGCCTTACTTTCAAATCAAAACTTTCAAGCAAAACAAAGACTTTAATGCTTTTAGATCAAGCTCTAATATGTATGTACTGTAAAAATGTTGGGTATTAGTTTAAAAAAATGATAAAAATTAAAATCATAAGCAAAAAGTAATGCTTTTAGTCTTGAGCTTATATAGAACTTTAGACAACTTTCAGTGTAACAAAAAAGACCATTAGATAATCTTTTTATTTTTATTTATTTAGCTATACAGTTAAACATTGCAAAGTCATGCTCAGATGATAAGACGCAAGAAAGATGGTAAAACTTATAGAGCTTATAGTGCCTCCCTTAAATATATGATTCGCCTATTCATTTTTATGATAAATTACCCCAAAACACCAAAACATAATTAAAGGATCAGCATGTTAGGATATTATTCAAATACTTCACAATAAAAATAAGCACAAAAAAAATAGAAAGCGTTGAATAAATTATAATAGAAACAACATTGTGTGATACTAGGGGATGATCTTTCTGTTTGGTTACTGCACTGAATGCAGAATACATTTACATGTCCTGATAAGTTTTATCTGTGGCTACAGCTGCTGTCCCACTTTGTTGTTGACTTACAATGCTTAGAGAGGTGTGTCAACCCTACTAAAACATTTAAACTCGTACTAGAATAATAAGTGCATTCTTGTACTGAGTTAGAGCTGTATGCAGTGATAAGTACGAACTACATGTAGATGCATATAATTATACTTGGTCTAGATTTTTTAATTAAAATAAGTTGTAAAATCACAACTCTTTAATGCTGCTTGACTCTGAATGACTCGGGCACCTTTCTGCACCGGCAAGGAAAATGATCTACATCTGATTAGTCCACCTACACACCCACTTTTCATAATTCAGATCTTCAGGAAGCTGTGGCTACCTAGCAGCAGGCTGAATCAGCTGAATGTCTCCCAATTATCCACACCCTCTCCTTTTGCCTCTAGTCATGAGCACTTGCTCGGAAACGAGATTGGTGGCAAACTAGGAGTCCCTCACTGTGGATTTGTACAAAACATCCCAGCAAATATTAAGAAGCTTGTTTCCTCCTGCATACGGAGATTGACTAATCAAAGGAAACACTGATTTGATGAAAGCTTGGAAATGGATAGAGGTTTTTAAGATATTATGTAAAGGTATCATTTGTAATAGTTATAATTAGGGATGGGCTAATTACTGGTAATGAGGTATAGCAGGCTTTTAAGGATACCTTTTCCATCACAGTGTTCCTTTAAAGCCATTTTCATATGATACCAGAGAAAGAACTGGAAAGACCGCCTCCCACCTGTTGCTAAAGAAGATTGTGGCATTTTGAGTTATTTACCCATCAGCTTATATTTAGCACTGATGCTTAGATCCCTTATCTGCAAAAAGTACCTTCAAGAATAGCAATGTTCCTTTCCATTATTCAATAAAAACAGTCCCTTGTGCATTTTGTTCCACAACGGCCTTGAATATCAACTGTTAAAAGTGTGTATTACATAAAAAAGGGAGCCTTCTTCTTTCAAAACAATCTAATCGTAAAAGCAAAATGGGGAAAATGTGTGTTCAGATTCACAAAAAGGCTTTCACACACTTGTTAAGCCCTTTATGTTATCTGAAAACATCTGTTTGGGTTTATTAATGAATGCCCTTAGTGTTCTCCAAAATATTAGACTTTAGCTGGGAGTTCCTGGGTTTTTTTTTAACCTGGTGAGTGATGCAGATTGATGCCCTAAACTACGCAGGCAGCAACTATAAACTCCCCGATAGCAAAAGCGACAACACACAGCAGAGGTGCGTGCACCTGTCTTGCATTTCCTGATTACTGTGACAACAGTCAAAAGAATAGTCATAAAAATAAAGTGTTAACATAGGGAAGTTAAGACCTGCTTCATAACATAGTAACACTGTTAGTGTTGTCTAAAAAGCATGAAACAAATATTTGCTTTTTTAGTCCAGGATGTGTTAAATGTTTAAGCTCTAAAACAATGCTTCTATATTTGTGCAGATGCCAATATCTAAACAAAGGTCTTTTTCATGCTGGGAAGTCTTTAAAGGATTACAAAATTAAACACCGGCACCAGCCTTTCAGGAGCCCCAATTTTCTTAAGGAAAGGAAAGTTTGTTTATTTGGCACATATCTTTAGCAAGACTTTAAATCATAAAATGAAACATAACAAGAAAACACCCATAGAAAAAGACATTGCAGTAGAATAAAGTTTATGAAAATAAATTAAAGCCTGACAAAGACATTTAAATTGCCAATGGTCTTATTGTTGGAATGGAAGGTTTGAGATAGGCTTATAGTTCTGCAGGAGCAGCTTGTCCAAGTTGCTCTTTTCTATAGTGCTTTAATGATTGCTGTTTTTCCCTGACAAAAGGGAAACGTTTATTGATTGAGTAAATCTGATTTTATGATAGGAATAGCTTTCTTTAAGGAAGCTCTGTGTAAAACATCGGGAAGAAGGACGGAGTCGGTGTAAGATTTGTTTTTTTAAGTTTATTTGGTGAATTTTGGAAATTTAGGCAAAATCTTTTCTAGTTGAAAACTATTTTGATCCTGGATGTTATGGATTTAATGATTGCCTTGTTTTTTTCAGTGTGAAAAATCATACATTTTTGGAGGCCCTGAAAGAGTTAAGTTCAGATGCTATAATGACAGGAGGGTTTATAAACTTGTAAATCTTGGCATATAAAGCATGAGCATTATTAATGTAATTTATTGAAATACTGCTTGTTTTTTTTTTTTTTTTTTACTAATTCAGTTTTTTCATTATCAAGAAAAGAACCCCACATGGTCTTCAGAGTTGGGGGCAGAATACCTGAACTTAAATAAGCTCAACTGAAAGTAATTGACTCTGTGCAATCAGCCTGGTTTCCTTTGATAGAAAACTGACGGTTTGATTGAATTGTATCTAAAAAGTGTTTTGAGATGACATGTCATGTGAACCTGTCCTATACTGCATATATATAAAAGCTTGAGTGGAATTAAGCAGCATTCCTATAGCAATCAGCCAGGATGTAGTTTGTAAATTTCATGATTGATCAAAAGACATTTGTTTTTTTTAGACTTTTAAAAATTAAAATCTTGGAAAAATGAATGCAATAACTTGGAGAGACACATTGTGTAGGCATTACACAAATTTTTTAAGGATGGTCTCCCAGCTTTATTAATATAACTTTGTTTAGTAATCTATTTTTGCCCCTTTTTGCTTTTCAAATAGCTAAATTCTACAAACATATGATGGGAAGTGTCTGCAACCAAAAGGTTTAATTTTGGGGCGTCCTTATCAAAGCGCATGCTGCAATACATTTTATATAGCCAAAACAGGATTTACATAAATGAGACTCATGTTAAAAATATGGTTCTATCACCTTAGAGATTAACTTTGGGGAGTGCTCAGCAAATAGTTGTTCTGTCAACACCTTGGATCAGGGGCGGTTCTAGCCAATCATTGGCCAACCCTAACAGCTGATTTGTTTTTCTCCCACGGATTTAATTTGATACCCCGGGAAAAAGCAGTTCTCCTCTAAGCCTGATGGTGGCAGCATTGATGTTATCATGAGGAATTTCCTACTTTGACATCGTTCATAATAATATGCTATAAATAAAGATGACTAATACAGAATGTTTGCTTTTAAGCTTTATAGTGGAGAGTGTCTCTGTAGTCACCTAGGACTCTTCTCTAAAGAAAAAGAGTTCAATCCATTTAATGTATATATTATGTAGAACCATAGATTCATGTAAATGTCAGCAATGTATAAATATGTGCATAGCTTTATTAGGAAGGCCCCAAATGAAAATCTGGTCTGTCTTTGGTGATTCGGGAAATCTAAATGTTGTGTGTTCATTCTCCCATTGGCTTATTTTAATCAATATAGATTGACCTAATAATTTTTTTTGCTATGTATCATTTTTCAGCCATCCATCAGTGTGCATTGGCCTTCCTGACCCCCTCTGTAAAATTTTTCTGGAACCACCAATAATCAGGCAACATGCTAATATGGCAACCTGTGGAAATCCTTTAGCCACTCCAGAAAAAAAATCTTAGAACCGCCACTGCCTGGGATGTGGATCTGTTCAGCTCTTTAATACAGTGGCTGCTGCCTCTTGTAAAGTTTAGGCTGAGTGTCTATTGGTTCTGCCATAAGATTATTTCTTTCCTGCTTAGGTGATTACTAAAGGAAAGTGATTGCACAAGAGCTCTCTAAATGTATCAGAAAATGCAGATCACACTTTTGAGACTTTTAATTGTAAGAAACTATTTTAAACAATTTCCCTCCAACTTTTTATAGTCAGCACCACTTTGCTTTTATTTCATATAAAACCAAATGTGAAACCTTCAAGCCAATGAACCCTTTTGAAATGCATTGTAAGCACTTTTTAATTCTAATAAAAAAAAAGAAAATGAACAGAAATTTGAAATTCATGCTTGTGGATGTTAGCGACTTTTTATTTTAGGGTACGCCTAAAAAACCAATTAGTCAACAAGTGTTTTTTCATCCTCAGAACCAAAATAAAATTAAAAAAAGACCCTTCTACTGTTAAAAATGCATGAATTTCTTACATGATGCCAACCGGATTTATCAAAAGGTGGATGTTTTGCATTTTAGGGTAATCTCACACAAACACTAATAGGCACTGTAAATGCAAATATGCATTTATGAAAAAACAAACATTCAACACAAATATCCCTTTGATAAATCAGCATAGGACACCTGTGATGTTTTCCATCTATTATACAGCCTCTCCTCTATATGAGTGACCTACTACCATTTAGCTCCTGTTTATGGAAATAGCAGGTGAATGCTGTTATTTTACGTGGTGTAAAGTTTTAAATCAAACCTGATTTCTTTAAAAGGTGCAGGAGATCTTTCTATCAGATACAGCATATCAAGGTGTGTTGTATTCCATAACAGAAGCTGGGACTGGGTAAATACACTGATTTAAGTGGCATATCATTCAAGGTTTAAGAGTTTTCCCAGACGGGCATTTCTTGTCTGGTGTTCCTGTTGTTTCTGCTTCTTCAGCAGGCGATACGCCTCCACTGCTCGCTGCCTCTCTTCCTCCATCAGTCTCTGTCTGGCCATTGAGGGCTTCGTTGTCGAAGTTACAGTGTGGCCGAGCAGAGAATTGAGAAGCAGCTCTTTTGACGCCTTCTTAATAACAGAGGTAGAGAGAAAGGAAGTGAGTTAACTAAAAGGAACTAAAAGCTCCAGCCTGTGTTTAATCTGATGGACGAGTACCTGAGTTTTAAGCGGAGCCTTCTTTGGTTTCGTGCTTAGTGATGGCGGGGCCATGGAAACTTCACCAAATGGAACATAATCTAGAAAACCAAACACATATTTTAGTATGTAAAGTTTCACAGAATTTGCATATCAGAAAATGTTTTTTCTAATTCTCAGATTTAGTTTTGAAAACTAAAATCTCATGAAATGTTTGACAGCATCCAGGTTTTTTTCTTTCTTTCTTTCTTTCTTTCTTGTTCAAAATCAGGTCTGCCACTGAGGATAATCCTTTATTTTAGCTTGATTAATTCATCACCGCACTTTTCAATGAATCGACTATCTAGAGCGACTTGAACTTGAGAAACAAAAATAGTTTTTACAAAAAAAAGTACGTTTTTGCAAAAAAATGTAAAGTAACACCTCTAGCATGGCAGAAGCAGACTGAATGAAGCTTTTAATGTTTAATAATTTAAACAGCCTGACTATAAACGATATTAAATATAATGAGACTGAGTAGAAAATAATCTCACCATGTCTCAGTTCAGCTTTTAGTGCATTTCATAAAAGACCAAAAATATAAACCCTTTATATAAAATATCATAAAAGACTAAAATGACTTGTATGTATTACTTGTGTGTATTATCAGTTTCTTTGATTTAATTTTGTATGATCATCTATAATATAAAACTGGATCAGAATATGCTGAAATTTATTTTGTTGCCTGTAGAAGTTTGCATATTATCACACATACAGGTCCAATATCAAGCAACGGTGACCTTAAATGTTTATAAACACTATGCATGTAGAAATGTAGAATACAGTGAAAATGTTCAACTTGATAGATTACATTCAGCAGACTTATTTTTACTAGGGATGCTCAGAAATGAAAATTCTTGGCTGAAAACGAAAAGTTAGAGAACCAAGCCCGGAAACGAAAGATGTTAAATATATGAAACAGCACATTTTTTCCACTAAGATGTGCAATAACTATTAAATAAACTCATATTATTGTTTAAAATCCAAAAATTTCAATACATTTAGAAATTATTACCAAAATATTTATTTACAACCGACATTTTTTTTGCTAAGCCCTTTAGATTAGCCGAATCATTAGGAAACGTTCTTGCGTTTTTTAAACATGTCCGCTGCAGGCGGAGTGGCCATGTTTGGTGTTGGTTTGCACTCTTCTTGAACATGGATTTCTATGGCATTTTGTGCCACTGACCTAAGTGCGCAGGGAGACTGATATGTAGCATCCAAACTCGCTCCCCCCTCTGCTGCATGCTCCTCCCTGATAAACTGCCTCACAGCCTTTGCTCTCTTCCTCCAGTGCTATACTTCATTCGACAACTTTCCCGTGTGCTGGATGTGCAGTTTGTTGAATCATCACAAGTTTCAGCCGCATTGTTTTGGTGTTAAATGTCCACCGGCAACCAAATTTTCACTGCATGCCTATTTTCCCTTTCTGATCATCAGAAGCGCATGGATGTCCACTATTCAAAAGGTTGATGTGTAACATACTTGTTTTGAAATAAGACAGGAACTTTACATAGCATTCAAACCATATTTAAATACACGAACAAGCAAACATGTTAACATTACAGAAAACAAAAATCAGAAAACTCCCCTGATTCAGTGCTATTTACAGAAAAAGAGCTGTAACTTTTCACATAGGTTTAGGATTAATAAAATTAAACATTATTAAATGTAGGAATCAACTAGCATTATAGATGTTAATGTACTGGAAATTGGGCTGGGGAATATAAAAACAAATGTTTTTGGTGGCACCAAGTTGCCTTAGAAATGGGAAAGATCCATTGACTTTATGCTGTTGAGTATAATGGTAAGTGATTTTACTTGCCTGGAGATTCCATTCTAATAAATAAAGTCAATAATCAATCAATTGGACTCTAATCTCTGTGCTGAAAAAACATGAAAATAATCTTCTATTTGAAACGTATTTAACTATGAACCAGTGTATTTATGGGGCAGCAAGCAAAATATAAAAACAGAAGAAATAACAGAAAAATTCACTCGAATTATGATGCAAAGAAACCTAATGTAGCTTTGAAACCTCTTGAAACCAAAGCATACACAGTATGTAATTATAAGGGTTGGTATGATATGAATAAATACTTTCTAAAAGGTTATTTATGTTCATTCTTGACCAAGACGTCTTCTTACTTCTGTGGAATCACTCAGACAGAGTCCGTTTGGAAACGTTTGGAAAGTAGATGAGTATTTCACTTCTTCCAAAATGACATTAGGCACCATAATGCATGCACTACACCATAACATAAAACCTGCACTTCTTACCTACAAACATCTCTTTCTCCATTTTATCCTCTTGTTTATCCAGCTTCTTCTGCTGTATCTTGCCCAGTCTCTTTTTATCATACCTGCAGCAAAATAGAGGAAAACAATGAATATGTTTAAGACATTTAAACAGATGAATTTATTTGATTTAAGCAATGTGGGGGAAAAAATACTGCCAATATTCTCTAAAGGTGAATAAATCTGACTTAATGTATCAGGGGAAAAACCACAAGGCCTCACCTGATTATCCAAAACGTTCTTCCATACATAAAAAAATAAATCTGCTGAAAACATCAAGTGATCATTATTGGTCTATATCATATTTGGCTTAGTGTTTAAGCCAGAGAAATTGATTTGCTGTAACTTAAATTTTCTGTAATGATCTAATCCAAGTTATCTTTACAGGCTGTTTCAAATAGAGAAGCACCGATCAGATACCTAGATCGGATATCAGCTCTGATATTGACTAATTAACTGGATCAGATATCTGTGATTTAATATCTGTGATCCAACCCAGCGAAGTCTACATGGGACTGACATTTTTTTTCTTTTAGCTGCTTATTTTTTAAATACACAGCAAAAATCACTGTTAAAATCATAGGTATAGTGTTAATTAAATATTATGAGTGTTTAATTAACAATACCCAGCAGGAAAATAACAGTGCTAGTGTTACTTGTGACATATTTACGTTGTTAGATTGGAGTGTTAACCGTTTGCTGCTTAGTTTAAGCCACAGCCCTCACATAGAGGCTGCAAACAGCATAACCTAATTTTTTGGTTGAAGGAGACGCCAGCTTCTTTTCCAATGTGAAAATGCCTGTTTTATAAAAAAAAACCAAAAAAAAAACCTCAACATCATAGTCAACAACAATGAACCATTTCTTTTGACTACTAAAGACAAGAGTTTTTTTAAGAGCAGCTGAGTGCTTTCAAAATAGATAGTGGAGGATGCTTTTGCCGTTATCTTTGTGTCAGACCTGATATCAGCCTTATGACAGACAGTTTTCAGGTGATAATGATGAAATAAATGTATATTGTGCCCCAGTGCTGTTTTATATGAGCTGAGGATTGTTTGAGTTGTAGACGTGGCTGACATGGGTTTGAATCCAACCTGTGGTCCTTTCCCACATGTCTTTCCCCATTTGCTGCACTGCCTTTCCTGTCGGCCCACTGTACAAAAACCAAAACACTAGTGCTGCTAATATAATATATATATTTAGAATAAAAGAAATGGTCTTGAATGTTTTCCATGCCAAGGACCCCAAAACGGATGGAGAGATGGAGCGGGGACCCCCTAATTATATATATTGTATGAAATTCTGTTATATCAAACTGGTCCTATAGTCACTCTATTACAGATGAGGTCATGTAATTAATGTAATTTCTCCCTGGGAGTATTAAAGTATTTCTGATTCTGATTACTTGTTGATGGGACAGGTGTTGTGACTGAAACGGTGCCTAGCTTGAAAGAGCTCCTTTGTGTCACTGAATGTGTGCATTGATGACTGAAAAACATCTTCAAGGCTCCATTTATCTGTTTACTACAGTATGTTGAATTCATGTTAATGTGTATTTAAAAAAATTTAAATTAGTGGAAAAAATTGCATTTAAAAAAAAGTCTAATCAACCAAAATTTCGCAACCCCCATGCAGTACCTCTGTGGAACCCCTGTTAAAGACCCCTGTTAAAGACCCCTGTTCTAGGGGATGGGGAACCTGCTTTCTTTCCACAGCCTCCCCATTCCAACAGGTGAAATCTAAAGGTCTAAAAAGACAGTCACCTTACTTATTAACATTCACAACACTGACTCACTCTTTCTTCTTCTCAGATTTCCCCTTTTCTGCAGACTTCTCCTGTTTGTCTGCATCAAGCTCGGGTTTTCTCTCAACTTGGTTGTTTGTGAGGAAGGAAACATAATTTGTCTCATTCTCCATTCGCCTCAAATAGGCACCAACACTTTCTTTCTTCCCCCTCTTGAAGTGAGGGACAGCGATGTCTCCATCAGTGGCATCTTCTGCTTTAGACTGCACAGCGATGGCTGAAGAGAAAACATTAGATTAAATGTATATATTATTTATGTATGCTGTCAGTTATTAGATGATTAGGTTAAATGCTCACCCTTTTTAAGCTTTTTGCTCCCCAGAGATGCGCCTTTCATTTTTTCCTTGCTCTTCATGATCTCTCGCAGCCTGAACGGGATGTGCTGCAGGTGATCCTCCTGTTTGGGTTTCTTTGTTTTGCCATCTCCTTTAAATTTATTCTTGCTGTAATATTACAGTACATTTTATGTTTGCAGTGGTTAAACGTTTGGACAGTCATCTAGTTTTATGTGAACACTGATTTCTATTTTACTCCTCTCTCATCACCAGGATCACTAGACCGAGAGGCTAAAAACAATTAGCTTTCTTTGCTACTTAGCTTATCTACTGATACTGTTTCAAACGTTCACTTCCTGGACTTACCTTGGCTCGTCTCCGGTCTTGCCTGTTTGCTGTTTGGTCTCCTTGGATTTATTTGTTTTATTTTTCCCCATTTTAGATTTTATAGAGCACTTTGTAACATTTTCACACGTGGGACTGCATGATGTCTCAGACCCCGGAAGCAAATCGACTCAATTCCGAGACGAGAAAAAAAAAAAAAAAGAGAGCTTACTGTAATATGTTTGTCTGTAAGAAAATGTTAATAACTAAAATCTACTAATAACTTCTATCATTTGTTCAAAGAACGTCGGGCAGTAATTGTGTAGCTCTAACCTATTGGTTCTAGTGGTGCTCTGACAAGATAAGTCAAGAACAAACAAAAATATAATATATTGAGTTGAATTCTTGTTGGAATTTTACAATTCCGAAGTGATCCATCTCAACAACAGACGAGCTTTGATGAAAATACAAAATTATTGCTATGAATGTATCTCACCGCTAGAGGTCAACAAAGCTCCGACTTTTAAAATAAGGGGTCTTTTTTGTTGTCTGGATATTCTTGTTGTAAAACTATTAAGATGTAGGAATATTCTAAAATATAAATAATAAATATAATATAAATATTATATTAAGAAAAATTAAGTAGAAAAGCAAATAAAAAAATAAACAGATTGGTTTTAACATATTAAGATGAATTATTTACAAAAGCTATGTATTTAGTAATATAATTACTCTATTTTCATAGATTTTTTGTTGTTGATGACAGTGTTTTTAGTGTTATTATCTCTACAAACTAAAATGTACCTAGAGTAAAGTACTATTTTTTTGTTGTTGTTTAAAGCTACAGTGTATAATTTTCAGCAACATCTAATGGCCAGATATCAGGGACAATGCTTTTATAAAATACATTTTGGTTTACATCTAGAAATACTGTATGTCTTTCTACCTCCTGACCAGAGCTCAGTTGGTCTGTCCACATGCAGGCTCCTCTGATCCTCTGTGGTCTGCCTTCCACCTCCTGCAGTTAGCCTCTATAGGCTACCCTCAGCCTGCCGCTGCCTATTCTTGCTCTTTTTCTCTGGCAGGCTTCTCTGAAGTACCGCAGTCATCCTCAGCCACAGTCTCTCTCCATCATCATTAATGCTCTGTTTTCTATAAGCTTTCTTTTCCAATGTTAACTCTCTGCATTTAACCCATCCCCTTAAGGAGCAGTGGGCTGCCATTGTGTGGTGCCCAGGTAGCAGAGTGGGGGTTAAGGGTCTTTAATCAGGGACCCAGAGTGGCATGCTGTTGGAGTGGTGCTTGAACTCAGAACCTCAGGATTCCAAGCGCAACGCCTTAACCTCTAAGCCGCCACTCCCCAAGGCAGGCATTAGTGTGAAGGGTCGTCACTAAGGACCCACACTGGCAGCTCATTCCCCCCAGCTAGGATACAAACCCAGGATTCCTGTTTGCAGGATGGGCTGCTTACCACTTTAGCTAGCCAGCCACTATTTTTTGTTTTTTATAGTTGTTTTTTAAGGCTGCCAGCTTATGTGTGGTGCCAGGGGAGCAGTCTGGAGTTAAGGGTCTGGCTCAAGGACCCTGGGTGGCAACCTGTGGGGCTGGAACTCAGAACTTCAGGATTCCAAGGTCTATGCCCTAACCTAGACTGTCCTGCTTTAAACCTCTGCAGTTAACTTCTATAACTAGCCTGGGTCAGTTGTCTCTCCACCGCGTTCAGTGCTCTGTTTGACTGGGGCAGGCTTTTCCAATCCACAGCTGTGGTCCTCAGCTCTCCTCCTGAGTTAGAGGGGGACAGGCTGGCTGCTTCCCGGCTATGGAACTCTCTCAGGCGGTGTTCTCTCACTGATTTCCTGCTGCTGCTGTCTGAGCACCAGAACGTTGTTCCCCTTTCCTCTGTTGTCCGGGTGGTTTGTCTCACCTTTTTAGCCACTCTGACCAAAACAAACATGGACCAAGCACAGGAGAAAGTAGCTTAGATTATTTTATAAATACTATTTTTTATTAGTCTGTGTAGGATAGAGATTTTGTATAGGCCTAACTTGCCAGAGTCACAATTGAGTGTAATGGTAATCTCTACAGTTTCTAGTTTTTCAACTCTGCACTGCTATAGTGTAAAGATGTCTGCCTCCATACAAACCCCATGTAATCATAAACAGCAATATCTAAAACAAAGCAGACATAAAGCTTGAGACTTCCAGTTCATAGATAATAAATAACATACTCATGTATAAAATATTAAATTTTTTATATTAGTAAATTCCTAAAATTAGTACACACTCTAGCATCAAGTGGTTGTTATATCTGTCTTAAATTTTTTTTTTTAATTATAAAAGCATAATTGAGTTGTTAATTTTTAGGTAACTATTAGCAAGTATCAAACGTATAATTTTGTGAAATTTCACTTTTTGGTGCAAGAGTTTGTTCCATCGGTGTATTTGAGAAAAGGTAAGGAAATGTTTTTACCTTTATTTGTTTTCCACCCTAGTGCTGCATATATGCAGTATACTGTCTGTGCATGTGTTTGACTCCAGATTAAGGAACCTGTAGCCCATCACATGAATGGACCACACATGTGTTTAGCTGTGTGTCAGGGAGGATGGATTGGATTATCATGTATAATGCAACTCAATCTGTAAGACTGCTGATGAAAGTGCAATACCCAGAGATCACACTTGCCTGTTCTTGACGTGGGCTGTTGTGTAATCTTAGAGGAGTGATGTAACCATTATCATCATAGCATATATGCATACATAATAAAGCTTCTGGGAGGTTGTGGAAATACCCAAATCATATAAACTGTTGTTAAATATGTTTTTTGTATCTGTCTCTGCTGTTAAGAGTCTGTCAGGAACATACATGATGTCCTTAAATGCCCCCCTGCCTCGTCCAATGCTCTGTTACCATATCCAATACAAATGACGTGTATACATTTTATTGGCTGATGTAATCTTAATCTCATCAGAATCTGAACTCTTTAAAAGGACAGAGCGAAGCAGCAGTCGCTGTTTGGCATAAAGGGAAATTTCTACGACATAAACAGGGAAAATTAATAGGAGCACAAGTGGTGAGTATTTAAAATTGAAGCTTTTAACTGTTTTTTGTGAGCAACACTCTTTTTGGACATTGGTTAATATGTTATATATCTTCAAAATTGTATGATTATGTAATTTCAATAGTAAATTTGTTGACTTTCTTGACTTTTCTGGTACTTCTTTTAATATATTGTGGCATTAATATATTTAATTAGAATTAAGATGATTTCCTAACAGTCAATTTTCCCCTGAAGGAAAATTTCCTCTATGCTATAGTAAAACATGTTAAACATCTCAAAGCATAAGATTTTAAAATTAATTTTGCTTACCCAAAACAACATTTTCTCCAAAAATGTTCTGTTTGAAACAGTTTTTACACAAGTAATGGTTGATAATGTGGTAGACGTAGAATGTCGTAAATAAGGTTTAAGAATTGTATTACCTTGATTCATATTTATTATTTCCTTTGGTCCATAGTATTGATTACATTTGATTAATTATTTTTTATCAAGAAAAGTCTTAGAGGAACATTTTAGTGGTGATATTTCCGCAATTTCAAGCTATTTTTTGCGCAAAACTTTCTCTCTGAAAACTTTTTGCTTTTTTAGGTGTCGTTACATCTGGGTTTAGCAGCAAATTCAGCATGTCCTCAGAGTAATCTGATTATGAGGGATCTTAGTTATCATCTAGTGTATATTAAGTGGGGGACCATCCGATTATAGGAGCCTCTGCAGCCTGCAAATAAGTACATTGCCTTAATTGTTTTGCAGTTTTAAATGGAAAGTAATATGGATAATTCTAGCTCAAATAAGCTCTATAGAGATGTTTATCTATTGTTTTCTTTCTCCATTGTTATTTCCTTTGGGTGATATTGCATCTCTCCCAAATCAGTTCAAGTAACAGAGGCATGAATCTGGACATAGGCAAACCAGACGCAAAGACTGGTGGCAAAGCCCCCCTCAGAGCCACAGCTCCTGGTTCCCCACGGAAGGCCCCACCCAAGTTCAAACAGAGAAACACTCGTCAATTCAAGAGCAAACCCCCCAAGAGAGGAGTTATTGGGTAAGACCTCTTATTCTCATATTTGTTTACAAATGTTGATGGTAACCAAATAAAACTAATGCAATTCTGATTATCACCAGCTTTGGAGAAGATATTCCAGGAATGGAGGGACTTGGCACTGGTGAGCACAATAAAAGCTTTTTACTCATATTTAACGACCGCCTGTTTTTATTGCTTTAATTTATCGTAACTAATTCCCTTTCAGATATCACTGTGATCTGCCCCTGGGAGGCGTACAGCCATCTAGAGCTACATGAGCTCGCTCAGTACGGCATCATTTGAGTCTTCAACATATAAACACCTTTCCTCTCTCAAAGGAAACTATTGTAAAAAGGATATTTAGAAATTAATCAAAGTAATATTTTTTTGCTACTTCTGAAAGGCAAATGTTAGAATTATATTAGGACATCATGTAATATGTGTCTGCATATTTTGGTGTTTTTTTGTGTGTGTCAAATGAGACTTTCAAGCTGCCATTTCTACACCCTTAAACTCTATTGCTGTTCTTGCATTATACCAGCACAATGTTTTTTTGTACTGAACTCAAAATAAAGCTTAAACTTTTTAAAACATTGATCAGGTTTGTTTTCTTATTGTCACAATGTCATAAAAAGTCAAATCTAAGATATTTTTTTGTAATGTTATGTAGTTTCGTTTGCCTAAACACTTAGAATAATTAAATCTATTGATAAAACACATTGATGTTAGACTGTTTTACATTAAGTTTTGAAACTCTGCTTATGCAATCAGAGGCTATATAATTAGTGATAAAATTTGGAATATTTGTATTAGGGCTGAAACAATCGGATTAATCGATTATTGAAATAACTGTCAACTAATTTAATAAGTGATTAATCGCTAACTGTATTATAGAGACTAAAACATGTCTTTAGGTGACAGAGCAATGCACTCAGAGCAGTAATTGTATCAAAATCGTAAAAAAAACATATAACAGTTTTGTATTTAAGATAAAAAAAATAGCTTTTTGTCTGCCAATATGCTCTATCCAGAACTCCTCAAGTGAAAAAAGTTTAAGTTTCACCTGGTTTAATTTCGTAAAAATTCTTCTCTAATGAACCTTTGGCATTCGATTATTAATTGAATAACTGAAAAAAAAAAAATTATCGACAGATTAGTCTATAGCAAATTAATCGTTAGTAGAAGTCCTAATTTGCATATTGTGCTGGTGAATCATATTCATGCTATAAATTAGTCTTAAAAAGTGAAAGAAAAAACAAACAAACTATGAGGCAAAACAAATATTTGATCTTAAAGTTTAAATGAATCCATTAATCTGGTCTGCTTGGCACATTTTAAATGGCAAAGGCAAAAAAGTTGTAAAATCTAAAGCTCAACAAGAATCTTGCGCCACATAACTGCATGGCTGGATGCCTTGAGACTGTCATTTATAGTTTTTTGAGACATTGCTTTGCCAAACAAAGCGAGTCCCTGAGTGTCAACGAAGAGATAGACAGATTCTAATACAGCGTCTGAATGAGAAAGCTGTAAAAAAGCAACAGAAAAGCAAAACTCCTCCACGACCACATCGCTTCACAATGACTCGGCAGGGTCGAAGGGTTCCAACTTTGATAGTTAGAAGATCCCATACTGGGGATGTTTTCTTTATGCTGCACAAAATGTTGGAGGCTTCATCTATCTGGATCTGTTTTTCTGCTACAAAACAATGTAGCATGCATGACTGAAGACATTCATCTTTGATTTGATTGACTTTGCCCACAGGACATTGCTGCTCTCAACAACTCCAATTTTTTTTCTTTCTTTTATGCCCTCCTGCAAGATTTCTATAATCTATTAGTATTGAAATGAATTGTCTTAGTGTAAAATATAATTTTTTTTTGCAAATTAATTTATTAGTGATGAAGTCCAAATCACAAAACATAAAAACAAACCAAACAGCCATGCCTCTTTTTAGCTACATAATGTATTTATATTATACATTAACTTTATGCCAGCGGATGCTGTCCATCAGTCTTCTGGTGATCAGCACAGTAAGAATCTGAACTCCAACAACAACCACTCCGATGGTCCCGATCAGGCCCTCATGCTGCTCAATCCAACGAGAGATTCCCCCGAGGCAGCCCCCTAAGAAGATCACGCTTTGAGCAGTGAACTCGTCCATGAGCTGGACTCCAACGCCACACTGTGAGTTCCAAACCGTGCCGTTCTCAAACGGGTCCAAGCAACACGTTGCAGGGACACCACAAGCCAGCACTCCTGGAGCTGAGCAGTTGTAATACCTATAAAAAAAAGCAACATTTTTTAAGTTGATGCTCAATTCTGGATTGACTGATATAAAAAATAAGTTTACCTCACATTTTACTCACATGTTAATCTCCCAATCCCGGAATGTATCCGCCCCACAGCACTGCAGACTCAACTGGATTTCATCTGTGATGAATCGAAGGTCCAGATCATCTTGATAGCGTGCCATGGCAGCTAATATCCCCGACCGCAGGTACCCTTCGATTTGGTCCTGCATGCTATAAGCCACGATCACAAACAGCACCTGGATTGTGATGAGCACCAGCACGATCCAAGAGAACAGCTTCAGCAAGCAGCAGTTCTCTCTTAAGGCACCAACACAGCCAGTCAGACAGAGAAAGGTGAGCAGCAAGCCCAGAGTCAAAAGTATCAGCATTGGATCCGTGCCGATACTTCCAATCTTCTCTTGGGCGAGTGATTCTTTGCTGACAAGCCCCCAGATCCCCAAACCAATAACCACCAGGCCCAGAACTGTGAATACTAGGTTACACAGGAACAGTAAGTATTTTAGGAAATAATCCATCAAAGAATAACTGTAATGAGGGCGGATTCTTGTGGAAATGTAAGGATCCTCAACGCTGTGAGTCCCTGATGGAATTTCCCTGTCAACATGGCCGAGCTCCTCATCCTCCACTTTTGCAGCACCTGACTTGAGACAGAAATATAGGTTTTAAAAGGGCTAAAGCTGAGAAAAGCACAGCATTTATAAAAAATAAGATTATTAAAAGACCTACCTTTGGTATGAGGGGGCTGGACTCATTCTGCCCATCATCCCTCCTAGACCAGGGCCATGGAAAGTTCTTTATGGGTAAATATTGCCGCATATTGTCATCCAGTAGGAGACAACAGACACAGTGCTTTTAATTCCTCTGAGAAGCTCAAGTTGAAAGGAAACGTGAATATTTGCTGCAGCTGAGAAACCAGTGTGATGATGCTGAGTGACCCTGCTGTGTTTAGCGTCAGAGGGCTGTGAGGCCGGGCCTTTTTTTCATCATGTGAGAGTCACAATGAGGGGATTAGACAGCTATCAGAGCCTAAATACAAGGAGCTTTTCATGTTAGGTTTTTACAAAAATGAATGACCTGAACAGAGAAAATGGAACGGTCAGAGACAAGATGTGTTTTCAAGACACAAGGAAACAGTTTATATGAAGTAATAAAACAAAACTAGTCATACAGTAACTTTTACAGCAGGTGGTTGAATTTAGCTTATATTTTTAGATTTATTCATATATATGAATATATTCATAACCATTACATTTGTTTCTTATAGTTTTGCCTAATGCAACCACAAACAGATGTATTTCATGTGGATGTAATAAACCAATACAAATCAGTACATGGTTGCGATGTGGAAGGCAAACTATATTTCCATAGTAAGTAGAACATTTTTCTGCAATAAGAGCTTGCTCTGGTAATGTATGTCTCCACCAGCTTTGACAGTGAAAGTTTTCTTACTTAAAATATTGCTCAGATTCAAGTCATTTGCTTCGGTCCAAACCATTTCATTTCATTTCACCATCAGTGGCTAACTAAATACTTTTCTCTCACTGTCTAACAAATATCTTAATTTAACCTATAAAACTATCTGTAAATGTAAATTTAAAAAGAGGAAAAATATCATTTTTGATGAAAGGAACAAAAAAGAACATGATTTATGTGATATGTATCTGAGATTTCTTCCCTCTTCTCTGATATTACTTTCCTTAATAAGCTGAAACAACACAGGGAAAAATCTGGAATTTTCTTTTTTTATTCAAAACACTTGTAAAGCTTTCTCTCCTTTTTTCTATATTACTGTCAGCAGAGAAGCTGGAATGAAAAACAAAACTTCCAGTACTTTTTTTTTTAGATTTGAAAGACAGACATGGCGTTTTAAACATTTAACAGCCAGAGAAGCATAAACAAATCCTAAATCCATATAACCGTGATAAAGGAAAAGTAACACAAGATTGTAATCCAGTAACAATCACAACATCAGAGTTGATGAATGGGGAGATTTTTTTTTATGTTTAACTGTGATGTATGGTTATGTCTGCACTGATGGAGCATTTTTTTAGGATATTAGAACAAACCCTCTATAAATCCACTTTAATTATATTTATCCCAGAATAATTCCCGAAGAGTAATTCAGTTCTAGTACAGCCTGTCAAGAGTTGGCAAAAGCTTGAAGAGAGGTTCTTAAGAAGTCGAGTCTTTAAACGGGACCATTAGATATTAGTAAATAGTAAATAAATACTTTTTCTTTTTTACATGGTGGCACCTATTCATTATTAATGACTAAAATAGATAATAATCCAAAAATAAAAGTTTTTATGCTATGTTAATTTTAGTCCCATGATCTGATATTCCTACATCATACACTAAGCAGCTGCAGATTACCTGTCTGAGGGTTTAATATTGGTACAATAATCCAGACTGCTGTCGGTTCAACACCTTTTTAGCAGATTTAATCTTCTGAATTCATTTATCACATCAACTGTCTGCAGATTTCAGTGATTTCCACAGATCTAGTAACGAATGATCATTTGAAGGAGTTTTGAAATATTCAATACTTTTGAATATTTGTATGAAACAGACTTTATTTTCTGCAAAGTAGCAAACATTTTAAATACAAAAAAGAAAACTTGTTCAACTGATATATATTTTCCTACCTCTTGAGTCCTGCTTAAATTCTCCACATGGAACCTTCTAGGCCATTTAGGCTTTAGGCTTAGAAGAACAAAAGCTTAAAAAATAAAAAGATCACCATCTACATAATCTTGAATTTGTATGGATGGATAAAGGTTCCTCTTCTCCTGTCAAACTAAATGTCATCCTTATATTTTCATATAAAATGTCAAACTAAATCAACTCATGGAATAAATCAGCCAGCAGCTTGCTTCAATAAGCAATAGAAGCAATTTATTGATGAGAAAAGTTCTTCAACGTTGATTCATTCCCCTTTAATTCTCTCTTAAAGATGAATGGAACCTTTAAACTGACTTTCTGCTGAAATCAATAATCATTTTTCATTTCCCACATTCTCTTCAGGGCGTTTGAGTCAGTAGGTTTCGATAACCTCTGGCTGCTACACAGACTAATTTTGGCTGGTGCTGTCAGCCCAGATGGTTAACAGATTGGATTACAGTAGACTGTAAGAATGTTATCTTGGAGCCATAGTGCTACATCAAACACCCCTGCTGGATGAGAGCCCACAGGGGGCGTCGCTGCCACCAAACTGGACTCTGCTGATTGATGAGTAGATAATGTATCTATCAATATGTATATATTAGTGATTTAGAGGACCATTTAAGACCATGTAAAAAAAATTTTTAATCTAGCTATGGGAACACATGCTAAAATATTAGATTGTGTCACCGCCCTTCATCACTGACGTGGAGAAGAGCAGGTGGAGGAAAGGCTCAGAGAGATTGGAGGCAGTCAGAAGAGAGCTTATATTTTATTTGTGTCATTCCTGAATGATTTTACCCCGTCTTTGGCTGATTTAACTTTTATAGACCTTTGGATCTACATCACCAAGGTAAAACTCAAATAGAAACAAATTATTTTAACCTTCATGCCTCTAAAGCTAAACAAGCATAGAGTATTTGATGATTTAACCTTTAAATACAACGTTGAAATTGGCTTAATTTCAAGTTATTTCTATAAAAAATGTATGAAGTTAGTGTTTTTTCTTTCTTCTAAGTCTGTATTTTCTGCTTTAAAAAGTAGCAATGGGGCTGAAGGTTTTGGCTCTTTTCTGCATGCTGTCAGCATCTGGAGCTCAGAGATGGAAACAGGAAACCTCCCGATGGGATCCTGAAGGTCTGGAATAACCTTGTGTTTCTGTCATTAATGTTTAAAATGCCTTAAATCCACACATTAACATGTGTTTATGTGTTCAGAAGAACACACCAGCAGTAAGACCTGCTCCAACCTCACCCAGGTACTGGATAACTGGAAGTTTGCTATCGTAACCCAAGTGAAACAGCTACTAATCAATGACCATGCCTCTGTTCTTCCTGAATACACCAGGTGAATCCCTCTCTACCTCTGTAGTGATGCTACAAGCTCTAATAGATCAGGTCTGAAGCCTGTAGGAAATGAGAACCATCCATAAAGACAGTCAACACGTTGCTGGTCGTCTTACAACATTTGAAGATTATGTAACATGTCCCTGGTTTTTAAATGATCTCACTGCCGTGACTGAGCCAAAGGAAATTAGGGAAATGTTTCAGCCACATGTTCAGCTAAATCTGATGTTTCTAAAACTCTCCAAGTCATTTCTCCAGAGACCGGGATTATAACTGACTAAATGACTTGTGATTATCGTTAAGTAAAAGTTGTAGATCAACTGCCATGAATTTAAGATCCATTTAGCACAACTTCTTTTTGAATTATTATTATCTAAAGAGACGTTTGGTCTTTGCTCTGTGATTACAGAGTTTCTGCTGATTGTGCATCTGTTTCTGCTTAACAACATGTTATGATTTACAGTCTGTTTCTGTTTTCTTATTTCCCTGTGTCGTTTAAGGTGTTGCAGAGCCAATTTTTTTATAAACCTTATTGAAATGGTAAGATGATTTTAATTATGATGTGTCTGTGTGTGGTTTTAGGATTCAGCCTCTGTCTGAGGCTGTGGGAGATCTCTACCAGCAGTTTAACTCTCTAAAAGATGAGCTGGGGAAGCTCACCTTTAAGTTTGATGGACTGGAGGCTTTTGTGGATGAGCTGAAAGAGGGAAGGTTCACTGTACCTAAGCGGCCGATGTTAAGGATTCCTCCCAGCTTTGGTCTGAAGTCTCCACTGGGTGCACAGAGGAGGGCTCCTGATAGGAGGATCATCAGTCAGCAGACATTGGTCAGAGCCAGGAGAAGAGGCACATAGAGACAATTCCAACATTTTCTATATCATTATAGCTAGAGGAATTACATATCATAAGCTATTCTTGGTTAATCACTAATGACATGATATTTGAATCATATAATTTATATGTTTCCTTTTTTATATTCTCCCACAAGATGGCACCATTCTCCCAGTTTTTTGTTATTCTGTTTCTTTTTAAGATTCAGAATTACTTTATTAATCACTTGCATTTCCTGTAATTTGTTAGAATATAAACACAAAGGATGCATCATGTGCATGTGATCAGTAATTAGAAATCTGCATTTCTTAAACACAGAATATAAGCATCAAACTATGCATGCAGGCGAAGCAAAACCAAACATCTGCAAATGTTTATACTTATAACAGCAAGTGAAGAGCATTAAGCCCATGTGTCCTATATCCAAGAAAGGGAGTTCAGTGCATCACACAAGAGGTGAATAATGATAAACATGTTCCTGTAAGGCAGCTTTTAATAAAAATGATCTGTGTTAAAATTACATTTATTTGGAAAAGGACACAACATTTTAACACAGTTTACATTTAAGTTTGTTCTACATTTTTATTCTGTACTCAGTATTTAGAACTGTCATTGGTTTGTGCTCAATGTTTCTCCTTTAACAATAATTAAAAACCTGCAATGGCAAATGATGTGGTGCTCAACAGTGCAATCATACACAAAAAAAAAAAAAACAATTTTTTAAAGAAATACTTCAGATTTGAGCTTTTCATACCAAATTCAATTAAGATTCCTTTTTAAGTGGTGTTCCTGCTGCCTCACTTTCATATTTTAGCTTGTAAAGCAAGATAATAAAAATGAGTTGATAGTGTAACAGTGTTATTATGTTTGTTTACTTACTTTTATCCTTTTTTTGTAGTGCCGATTCAAAGAAATTAGCAGCAACTAAAAATACCACAGAGGGACAAACAATAATGCAAAATAAGTGAACCAAAAAAAAAAAAAACTAATTATGAATATTAACATATATATATAAAAGTAAACAAATGCAATTTTTAACATTTCGACTTTTGGGGTTATTGTTTTATTAAATCAATGTTAATACAGTTGAATGTTTTTAAAATATATATATATAAACCACTGGTTATATATAAAATTATTTTTTATTTTGTATCTACAAATAAGATAAATTTTACTTTTTTCAATAGCATTACGGGTGTGCTTTATCTGTCCCATCTGGTAGAGCAATTTGACAAAGATTTTCAATTAGTGGGTCGCATAGCTATGGAAGATAAACATTTTTTTTATATTTAAAATTAATTTATTTAAAAAAATGTAAATATGAAAAAAACTTCAAATGGATAAAAGGATGTGCCTCAGCTGTCCTATCTAATAGAAGACTTTGACAAAGATGTTGAGTGAGTGGGTCACATAGCCAAGAAGCTTTTGAAGAAAAGCAATATATTTTGCCAATAAATAAATAAAATATATAATAAGAGTTGATAATCAAATAAAATGTATATTCCTAATTCACGCAATCTAGTAGCATGATTTAGTTGGTCACAATACTAGGCATATATTTATTTTTGTTTATCATGAGTGTTTGGTTTTGAAAATTTGTTGATGGACCCCAAGTGAACCACGGCTGGCTGAAGTCTGAGCTCCTGAATCGGATTGACAGTGAGAGAAGTGCCGCTTACTCCGGGGAGATTGTACATCCGACATTCCACATCAAACTGCTGCATCTTCACCTCATGGCGTGCCCCTGGCCTGGAGATCGGTCTGACTTTGGTATTCATTTAGTGTTTTTATCGAGCAAAAGAAAATCTTTAACAAATGAATGATTTTCCTTTTTATTTCAGTTTTTTTCTCCCTAATCTGCAGTTTTTTCTATGTAAAAGATGAAGTCAGGTTTCAGAAAAGACAGTTCCTAAGATACAAAATCAGACCTGAATAAATTATAAGTCATAAGTTGACATTAAAGCTAATTTATGAAAGAAATAATTGAAATTCAAAAATTAAATAAAAAAATATGTGTAACACTCATGGTAATTATTTATTTACATGCCAGCATCATGTTAGACACTTCCATTATAACCTCCTCTTATCTTTCACCAACAAATAAGGGTTTGCTTTAAACTAAGTGATTGATGATGGCTAAACCAAGAAATACATGTTAGCTGCTTCACAGAAAGATGAAACTTTCTCATTTATAAGAATATATCAAATAGAAAGGAAGTCTGCAGCTGCATCCTGTGATGACAGAGAGGGAGATAAAGACAGGTGATGCTTCACTGGTAAAGGATGAGAATTCAGAATGATCTGTTCTCATTTTTAAAAGGTTTTTATAAAGGATTGATTCACAAAAAAATAAATAAATAAATAGAAAACTAAAGGTTTTTCTGTGTCCAAGTTATGTTAAAGAAAGAAAAAAATGATAGTTTGCAATAAAGTTAAATATTTAGCTGCCAAACACAGAATGCCAATTCTTCCAAGCATTGAGTAGAAACTTCCAACTTGTTTGGGCTTTTTAATAATTCATTTTAGGGAGTTTCATTCATTACCAAGAAGCCTGCAAAGGTGTCCATTAAAAGAAGAGCTACAGAGAAGAGACGTGACACTTCGCTGACTGAGGATTAAAAAAGAAAACCAAGTTTCACTTCTTTATCTCTTTTTCAGGCGTTTCTCACTTTCAAATACCAGAAACCATCAAGGTTTTTGCACTGTAACGCTATTCCTTTAGGAACTGACTAGCATTTAGAGCATTACAATGTATTTTTGTTTTTCAGCACTTCTTTCTCTTAAAACAAAAAATCAAAAAGACCTAAATTCCATTTTTTTTTTATTCTACCATTTTGGGCTGGATAAAGCAAACTGCTGTATTCTGGTACAGCTTCCCTCCTAAAGAATTACACGCATACATTTGTCATAGTATTTTCTTTTCATTTGGTAGAAAAAAGTTCTGATTTTAATTATTTACACATTTTGTTTTCTTTTAAACAGGTCAAACACCTTATACATTATTGATTTAAATTGTTGTTAAGGATGAATTCCAAAGCAGCTGATGAATCGACATTTTTTTAACTTAAGGAGATAAATATTTAAATGGAACTTCACTGCATTAATAATTTAAATTTTATTTATTATTTTCTATACCTCAGACAGAAACAACACTTAATTTAGGCTACCATAAAAAAAAAAAAAAAAAAAATAATCATGAAAACCAATGAAACTGATTTTCAGTCCTATCTACATCTCCCGCTCTGTTCTCACAGGATGCAGCTGCAGACCTTTACTCTATATTTATACATTCATGTAAATGAGGAGCTCCATTTTGGACTGTCTTGGGACCTGCAAACGGTTTTTACTTCTTACAATTAATGAAGCATTAATAATTCAGTTAAAATAAACTCTCTTTGGATAAAGTTTTAATGTAATGTTCATAAATAATATGTGTTCATATCACTTGTGATAAGGGCAATTATTTGTTAGTTTCAAACGTTTCTTTAACAGCCTGCTCTATTTTAATGTGAACTTATGATTCATTAAGCTTGAACTTGCCAATAAAAAAAAAACAATATCTTAGGGTTTTTTCATTATTAATATAGAAGAAGAATAGAAGCAGAAGAGGTCTTCAAATGTACGCATGCTGTTGAAGGATTGGTGGAGAGAAGAAAAAGCTATGCTTTACTGAATGATAAAAATGAACTGTTTTCCTTTTTAACAGACTTTTAACAACTTTAAAATACACTATTCTTATCTTCTATTTTGTATCTAAATATTTCTTATTTTAAATTGTATGAAAGAATAAAGTTTGAACATGCAGAAAATAGAAATACATGATTACACTTGATGAATGCAGACCCTTTTATTTTACAATGATTATATCACAGGCAATATGTAATGAGGCACAACTGCTCTTGTTAATATATAGAGAAATACACATCAATCTATATTTGCAATATCTATATTTTTTTTATTAACAGAGAAAAGCAAACGCAACAATAATAATTAAAAACACATTCAAACAGAGTATGTTTTTTGTGTTATTGTTTTTTGAAATCTGGTTAGAAGCATAAAAATAAAGAAGCAGATTCTAGATGATTGTGGTCCTCTACTGTTCTTTAGCAGGACATCCTGACTTGTTGATGGTTTTCTCTGCAGTCTGGGAGCCCAAAGACACTTTACAGGTATAAACATTAATCATGTTCCAGTCTGATGTCTGGATGGACAGAGAACTGCTGATGTGGAAAGTCTGGTCTGGTCTCTGAACAGCAGTGCTGGTAGAGATCCCACTGGTCACTGGACTCCCACCAACCAACCAGCTCACATCTGCAAAAGGCGCAGACTGACTGGACAGACAGAGCAGAGTGGCTTTGTTGGACTGCAGCTCAGCACTGGATGGAGGGAAGACAGTCAGGACAGGAGGAGGGAGACTGGAGTCTGGAAGGACATGGAGGACATTATCAAATAACACATTTATGTCAAAAAAAAAAATCAGTTGGTTGAATTAAAACATGGATCATATTTTAAAACCCAACATTCTTAATTTCTAATTAAAGAAAAAAAAACAAAACATAATGACGCTGAAGCTGTTTAGCATTTTCTGTTATTCTACCAAAATGTATGAGCTTAATATATTTGATCTGTCAGAAATATAATGGATATTGAAGATTTGTTCAAATTTATTCTCTAGTCAGTTATGGATTATAACACAAAAAATAAACATGGCATCACTAAGAAAGATATAAAAACCTGAATTATTTATGAAGAAAATTATATTCATTTACATCCTATTTTTGTTATGAAATATTAGTTTGTAGAATATTTTTTTCCACATGATTTTTAAAACTTGGTCAGGTGTTTTTTTATTTTATTTAAGATGTTCTAAAAATGTATACAGTTTAATATTAGCTTCATTTTATCAACAAAAGAATCATAATTGGATCCTGTTTGATATTGCACTTTTAACAATGAAATAAAGAGCAGATTGTATAGAAACTACTTGCTTAGTTTTTCTGAAACTCTTCATTAAACTTGCCAAAAGAAACACAATAATTTCAGAATTTCAGATGGGTTTTTTTTGCAATATGTTCAGAGAAAATAGCAATTTGTAAAAGATGTTTTCATAGAATACGATGAATTTTGGTAACAATTTTACAAAACTCCATTTCATCAGTTACAGTAGATCTGGATTTTTGATCAGAGCAAAACACAATTGGAAAAAAGATTAAAATATGTACCTTCAATCTTTGGAGAAAAAAAGTAAAATGAATCCTGTTAAAATTAAACATAAAATTGAAAGAAAAAAAAACGTATTTTAAAGTAATTAAAACAGATCCTTACCTGTTACAATCAGCTTGGTTCCTTGGCCGAATACCACAGTGATTCAGTTTGTATACATGGCCGTACAAAAACCTCCTGATTGTCTCTGATCAGGGAGTGGAACTGAAACCTGCTGAGACCAACTTTCATTGAAAACATCTCATTTTCTTCATCTGTTTGCTTTTATTATAAAACACACACGCACATTGTTCTCTGTAGACATATTTAAACAGTAAAATATATTTTGTTTGTTAATGAATGTGTGTAGTGAACTGTTGAATGTTCATATATTTTATTAGTTTTAGAGCTTAAATCTTGTGTTGGTTTTTGTCACACTGTGAATCACTGTGATACAGCTTCATCTGCAGAGTCATCCCATGTCTGACAGAAATAAAGAGCAGAGTCTCCTGCCTCTGCCTGCTTAATAATAAACTGATAATCTATGCTTGAGGTGGATTTAGAGTTGAATCGGTCTGAAGAGAATCCTGTTCCAAAGTAGAGTGAACTATCGTAGTGGTGAAAACTCAGAACATATTGAGGAACTCCACCAGGAACTTGTTTGTACCAGTTGACATAGTTTCCATCATATCTCTGAATGTTGCATTTTAAAACAACTTGTTGTCCTGTTGAAACGGTCTCAACAGGAGGTATCTGGGTCAGTGTTATCGCTGCATCAACATCTGGAAACAGAAGCAGGGAAAGCATGAGTAAAAGGTTTGCATGTGAAAATGTCACCTTAAAGTCTCTGAGAAGAATCTTACATGTTAGAGCAGTGATGAGACTGCAGAGGATCCCCAGCATGATGTCAGTTTATGGAGTAAAGGTTTGGTTCTGTCCAGCTGAAAGTTGAACTGAAGAGAGGAGAGAACCAGAGGCTTTTAAGACACTGAGTAGAGGAGAATTGAGGGAGGAGGAGATTCATTAGACTAATATCTGAGCAGGGCCGTGCAGAGACCACTAAAGGGGCAGGTGCTCAAAAAAAAAAAAGGGCACATCTTATCGCATTTTAGGACAGAATATTAACAAAGTCACATAGCTTTCAGAGTTTAATGAACAATGATAAATTACAAAATTGTGAGACATACAATCAAAGCTAAGGGAAATCTCTACATAGAACATAGAACTATGCATATGTAAAATATTTTATTAGTAATTTCTTTCTGCAGGTCTATTTTGTTATAGGAAAGTATTACAATATTCAAACCTGCAATTTAGCCAAAGATGTAAATCAGAGCTGGACCACCAGACATATTTTGTCTTTACAGAATTAAACTGTTAAAAATGCATACAAGGGCACAATGCAACCTTTTAGTGTACTGTAATCTATAAAAAAGAATGTCTGCCTGGTTTGCTTTACTGACAGTGGAGATGGAGACGGTCCATTCAGAAAAGCAGAGCTGCTGCATCAAACTTTAACGTGGAACTGCAGAAAAAAAAGAACAAAACAAACATTTATTAATGCATGTCACCATGAGAAAAGCCTACTCTGTTTGTGTCTTAGTGTATTTTGTAAGTACCTATATACATTTTCTTCAATCTTTCCTCTTCGTTTTTTCTTGTCAGTTTCTCTTTTCTTTTTTTCCTCATTGTCTCATCTTTTCTGTGTTGAGTGAAGGTCAATGTCTTATTTATTTCAGTCTCTTGCCTTTCTTTTTCCCCCCAAACTAAATCCAAGATTATGATCCAAAAACGTATTTTCCGTCATGGTGATTTAACTGTTTAAAAACAAATTTCCAACTTTTAAGCATTTTTGCTATTTTTGTTCTCTTTTGTTCACAGCAGCAGTTTTCTGTTAGCCATGTCTTTAAAAATGTTAACCTCACTGTGAATGATTGGCACATCCTTTTCGATTGCCAACAAAAGAAGGTCTGACAACCGATCCTCCTTGCATAAGCTGCGCAGTTTTGTTTTCACCAGCTTCATACATTATATCTATCATGGTAGTTCTAGATGAGTTCTCCTTTAAGATACATTTACCTAACGCTAGAATAAATGCAATGTACATCATGCAGCAAAGGAAATTAGAAAATCAGACATATATCCATTATGGAGATGATAGGTTTTTGAGGGGCGATGTGCCCCTACTGCATAAGTAATACTGAAGAATGTCCTACTATCATTAACGACACAGGGAAGCTTTTTAGTTATCTTGCTTTGCTAGCAAAGTCATTAGCTAGCAGCTAGCTCATAGCACAAGAACAACAGCCTTAGCCCCCCCCCTCTGCACGTGCCTGTATCTGAGATTTGATTGTTAAACTGTCTTTAGTTACTGTGAAACAGAAAGTAAGTTTCCTATTTACTGTAAGCATGGCACTTGTTCTATAACCCAATATATATATATAAAAAAAAAAATACTACTGCAGAAGGAATTCTTTTTTGTAAGAAGTGATGCTGACATATCTGTATCTTTAATTTGAAAAGTCATCTTTTAGATATTTTTAAGAAGATTGGTCTACAGATGTAACATTTTTTTTCAGCATTGATGGAAAATCACTGATGACATTTAAATAGTACTGAGGACAATATAAATTTGAGCTCTCTTGCTATTTACAGAGGCCGATAAAGGCAAAAAAGAAACATACCTATATTTTTGTACATTTCTCTCTGTGGAATATTTCTCTTTTAGACAAAGATTTCTTGCAAGCAGGGGGCATCTAATATTAAAACTGAAAAAAAGAGTATGTCTTCCTAGACTTATTCCATTTTACTATAGTTTTGATAGAAGGTTAATCTTTGATTTTAGTCCCTTTGATCATTTTCAGGATTACAGGGCTCTATGATGTCAATGTCAGTTTTTTTCTGGTTCTGAGGGAAAGTACAACCTTGACAGGCCATCAGTTGCTGTCAGGATAACAATACAGAATAAGACTACCGATAATACGTATCAAATATGGAAGCATCATTAAAGCAGACAAGCTTTGTAATGGCAATCAGAGATATTACCATGTTACCTTAGAACTGACCTTAGTTTATTAATTAAATAAAAAAAATAAAATCTGTATTCTTCAATCGAAATTCCAAATAAGTTTTTTTTTTAATTATTTAGAATTAAAGCAAAAACTAACAACTATTTTTCTATGTGTCAATTCTTTTTTTAAATTACTTTATGTAATATTTGTATGGCAAAAGGTTCCTTAAACAAGATTTTACACAGACTTTAAACAAAGTGAAGCTTAAACTGTGCACTTTGAGGACTTATAGATAGAGCCTATTTATCCAAAAAGGTTTTTTATTGTTGAATGCAAAATGTCTGTATAGTTTTTATAATTTTGCTATAAAACTGCTTTGAGTGAGTTGGTCTTTCAGCTAAATGCAAGTTTAAGAGTCCCAAGTTAATGAATCGATGAATAAATTAGTTGCTGATTATTGCAATAATCAATTATTAATGATTAACACGAATAATTGTTTCAGCCCTTGTAAGAATGTTAAGTCTGTAAACAGACTTTTAATGAAGTGCCTGAACATTTGTTTTTAGATTTAGACATTTAGAATTATAATCAGAAGTGCCAGGTAAAACTGATAATATAGGATCTACTGCAAAGCAAGAAACAGAGGATGCCACCAAACCTGTTCTGATATTTATTTGAATAAGGTCAAAGTTTACTTAGATTGGATAGCGATGAATTTAAAATGGTTACATTCTCATTGATTTCTTATAAAAGAAGGTGGTCTATCATTTCCTCACCGTTAAATTGTATAATGAGGACAAATTGGCTTAAAGTTACAGCCTTGTAGGAGGGCCAATAATGTAACAGTGATCTTTTGTAACCATACTAGTCATTATAGATGCTTCAATGGAGCAATAATTTATTGATGCCGTTTTTCATGTTCTAAATGAGCTGATTTTAAGTTTAAAATATCAACAACTGGCTGCTGTGAGAGCTTCCTTGGCTCTATCCTGTTTTGTTTGAAATCAGACTCTACCCTCTCCTTTCCAGACTGATATATCATGTATACAGAGAAAGTCAGTCTAGCTGGCCTGGTTAAAAGAGACCACCACTGTTTATCATTGAGAATTTCAATATAAAAGTCATAGGGCCGGATTTATCAAGATCCAATTTTGCGTGCAGTAATTTGCGCTCGCAAAGTGGAATTTTGCGCCAGGGGCTGAACCATGGTTTGCGGGTGATTTAACAAGAGCGATTGCGTAACTGGTGGAAGGTGCAAAACTGTTGGAGACGCCCTATTTAAATGATGGTTTTGCGCGTTTTGTGGTTTGCGGCAAAGTAGTTTGTAGTCTGTACAAACTAGTGCATTAAGAAATTTAAATCTTACAGTGACCCCCAACAAAAAAAAAAAAAAAATAAGTATATATATATATATATTTATTTATTTATTTATAAATTGGCAACCTTTATTCCCTAAGGTGGTATGTGCTGCAGTAAAAAAAAAAAACAAAAAAAAAAAAAAAACAGGTGTTTTGTATTGGCCTGTGACTGTGGATGAGATCCCCGCAGCATTTGGCACGTTGCTCCACAGGCGCAGGGGGAGAACCCCGACCCCGTCGGACAGCACTTCTGAAAAAACGAGATTGGGAGATCCCAGCTCACGCTGCAACCGTACGCTGGAATGACCCAGATGCAAAAAAGTGCAATGTTGCAAGGAGTTTTGTGATATCTGTTATTGCGTGGGTCCTCGTTGTGGCTGGCTCCAAATCCATTCGGAGTTCCCCCAACAGCTCAAAAATGGCAATGCTGGATAAACGATATGTTTTGATGATCGTTTCCTCGTTCATCCCAAAAATATTCACACGGAGTGAAAAAATGCGTTCTCTGCGTCTCCTTGCTTCATTTCCATGTCTCCTTCTTGCGACAATAACCGCTGCCATGTGTGCGCAATTACGCATACAGACCATTTGCACCTTCTTTTGAAACGTGTTAAATATAGAGTCAGATACCGCTAGCAAAATTGCGTTCAAGTTTGATAAATCACTTTGCGAGTGCTAAATTAATATATTTACATGTTCTCCTCCCACAAGACGCACTTTAGCGTGTAAACGCCCCATATTGCATATTCATTGCAGAAAAAGTACTAAATGGATCACAGGCGCTATTTAGCACGTTTTAAAGATCAAATGCTTTTAGCACGCTGTTGATAGATCAGTTTGTACATTTTTTAGCGTGCGCGGTGAAATAGCTCACGTTTTAATACACGCAAACCTTTGATAAATCCGGCCCATAGTTTCTAATTAATAAAATAGAAACCTTACATATATTTATCTACCACTTTATTTGAAAACAAGTTCTATTTAATGAACTGAACTAAATCAGACCTAAATAGGTATGCTGTACTTTTAAAAATAAAATATGCTACAAAACAAAAGCCCACTTATTTTACGTAGTAGATTGTCACAACATTGGCCACAGCCCTATGGCCTGCGAAAGGTGAAGGAAGGAGAGCTATAGGAACAGGAGCTATAGGAGATACGGAAATTAGCCTAAAGCTGCTTTGATAATATTCCTAGCCACTAACAGGAAGAAAACAGCACTGTGTCAAGAGGTGGGGTTTTTTTATTAACAGTAGCTGATCACAGGCAGTATACTTTCTTTGGTGGTTTCCACACCTCAAAGTGACAAAAGAAACAGATCCAGACATGGGTAGGACACAGGCTAAAGGCCCATGAAAGAAGAATATAGAGAAGGAGATTGAACTGATGTCTTTGACAAATTTAGGGAGTTTTATGGCATTAAACCTGAAAGCGTAAAGCATTCAAAGTATGTGTAGAGAGTAGTTTATGTAGTGTGTTTTAAATAAAACTGTAGGAGTATTTATTATTTGTCCGACCTTTTGGCAGAACTCTG